CTATTAGGTCTGTGGTAGCGACCGAATTCGAGGCTCGTTTGACCGAATTGATTGAAGGTGCTGGAAGGTCGGCGGCAGCTATCACGGTATATTTACACGTCAGCAACTCAAACCATGGCCTTATTAACTTAATGTCCGAGAAAATGTTGGGAGAAACAAATGAGAGGCTTGGGGAAGGCCTCGTTTATCATTCAAAATAAGCAAAGACAAAAGTCAGCCCAATGATGCAACTTTATTGCCAGGGGTACTTCTTGGTAATGCATAAGGCAGGCAAAGCTCTGATTCCTCTGACCAAGGCTTTCCGTGTTTTCTTTGACGGAAGAAGGCCAAGTGGTAACAGCTCAAAGAATGATTTCGTCATACTTTCAATTTCTGAATTGCCTGAGCCTGAGAGCCTGTTCCGCTTGACCCTGAGAGACTTGAGGCTTCCCAAGAAGTAGGCGGGCGGCAGACTAGCAGAAATTTCGTTATACGTGTCGCGGTAACGACGGAAACGGAGGACCTACTTTTCAACGAAAACGGAAAAAGCGTCGTAGATGCTTCCGGATGTTGACTACAGTTAAGGCCGTTAATTGATGAGTTTTTAGATATTTATAAACAGGGTCTAATTTCCCTCGTGGATAGCTTCCATCCAAGGACTCATCCGCTTTTCAATTCAATCCATAGCTTTCTTCCGTGACACGAGGGTTACGCCGAAGTCTGTAGATCCAGCTCTGCCCGGCCCAGAGCTTCGACGCCGGGCCAGTCCGATGTTTGCAAACTTCTATTCGCCCGGCCGTAGTTGCTATGGAAGAAACGAATCCGCGGAACTGCTCTTCTTTTATTGTTTTAAAATGTCCGGATGCTCAACCAATAAGGGTTAAACCCCGTATAGCGCAATTGAAACTGGCCAAAGGTGGCCTTTCTACAACGTCACAAACAATGCACGGAATAACAGCGCAAGTTGTATATTCTATCTAGATCGGCTTGTAATCGTAATGGTATGAATTTTAGAAAACAAATGGAAGGAGACAATAATGAAAATGCTGTCCACGAGTCTCGCCATAAACAACTTGTATCCCGTCTTTGCTCGTTGACAGTGTGGTAACTACCAAGGGCAGAAAACTTGCCAAGAAAAAAACTACAATTTCGCCTTCTTTTCAACTTCCATCACCAACTCTTCCGTCATTTTTTCCACCCGTTCCGCCAGGTCCGAGGCAACTAAGCCCAGAGTACGGTATACTTTCCGTCGCAGAGCACTAGGAGTCCGCGACACAGACTCGGCAATGTTCACAACCACATTATTCTGAAACTCGTCGTCTCGCAAGACGGGCAGGGACTTCCAGAATTCTCTGGGAAACTTGTAGTCCAGCTCATTTGGCTGCGACCATTCACTCGAGGTCGTTTCAGAAACCCATGCCGAGTGTTCCTGGCTCTTTGGTTCCGGACGCACCGAGTCCTTGGCCTTGGTATCCTCGACAGTTTGTCTGGGCTGATTCGCCGGCATCTCAAGGTTATGCGGACCCAGTCGATGTCTTTGCGCGTCCGGATAGGCGAAAAGACGTGCCTGCAGCATAGGATCCTCCGAGGGCTCGACGCCAGGAACGAGGTGCGAAGGTGAAAACGCTAGCTGCTCAATCTCCTGGAAGTAGTCCTTTGGACCCTTCTTCAACGTCAACTTGCCGAAACGCCTTGATGGAATGACGGGGATGTCGGGCGGGTAGTTGCCCAGGTTCCAGTGCTTTGTCACATCAAGAATATTGAAAGGCAACTTGTGGGCATCTTCGGGGTCAATGACCTGTACGTTGGCAGTCCAGCTAGGACATTCGCCCCGTTCAAGGCTCTCATTCAGATCTCTTGTCGCGCTTTCTTGGTCGTCGGGAGCCAGTTCTTTGGTCTGGCTGCCCTGCTCGAAATTGGGACCCTGGTCGGATGACAGGAACCAGTGGACGTATTTCCATGAACCGTCTGGTTTGACCCATTTGTATGCGTGGCCCACGTAGCCGCTCATGCTGCGGTAGTCGAACATGGTTCCAAAGTCGCTGAACTGGAACATGACCATGTGTAGAGTCTCGTGATTGTTGCATACGAATTCCCACCAGTTGCTCGGGTTTGTGAGGTTCGTCTTGGGGTCAGGTCGTTGCGCGTGGACGAGGTCGGGAAACTTGATTGGGTCGCGAATAAAAAACATGGGGATGTTCAGGCAAACCCAATCCCAGTTTCCTTGCTGCGTGAAGAACTTGACGGCCAGTCCTTTGACGTCTCTCACTGCCTCTGCAGAGCCGCGTTCCAGAGCCGTTGTTGAGAAGCGAACAACACACGGCGTCTTCTTGCCGACCCCAAGCAGCATGTCGATGTCGCAAATGTCGGAAATGTCATCTGTGACCTAGATGGTTGGAAAAGAGCGTCAGAAAGCCAGTCAAACCATGGAATGTCGCATGTGGCCATGTGATGGTTACCTCAAACTCTCCATACGCGCCCGCGCCTCGCGCATGGACTGCTCTTTCAGGAATCTTTTCGCGGTTGAATTGCGCCAGCTTATCGAGTAGGTTATAATTTAGACCCGGATTACTTTGAGGACCTCGATTGTCCTTGAGACCCGCGTCGTGAGACCCTTTGGTCTCAGTAGAAGAGTTGTGAGCCATGGGCGAAGTTTGCAGCCACGATCAGGAAAACTGTGAAAGAAAATGGTGAGTTGAGATCAAAGCCGACTTTCACCAAAAGCACAGAAGCTACCTCAATACTCTGTTGCCAAGGTTTCTGGGGGATGGATGAGATATATTTCGAACCAGCGCAGAATTGGAGGCGGGTTGCGTCATAAGCCTTGATTTAGAACACCATGGGTTTCTCGATCGACCAGTTTATGCAAGGTACGTTGCCCAAAATAAAAACGACAGGTACAAACAGGGGTTCAATAATCCACTGGTGAACGTCTCTCTGCCTGTCTGCCGACGGACATTGATGTCGCGGTGATTGAGAGAATGTGCAATCTTTTCCATTGAATGACTTCATGAAAGACTCCGTGTATTTAGGCTTTAAACTGTTATCTAGACTCAAAGTGTCATGCACTACGGGACGCCTGCCCCGACATTGATGTTGGCTCCATAGACCGGGTGAGAGTCTTCGCTGAGCAACCACACAATCGTACGCGCCACTTCATCAGCTCCACACATTGTAAGGCCTTGGCTGGCGTACAAGGCCTGGATCTCGTCCAGGGACTTTGCATTAGGCTCGAACTGGGGCAATAGCGGCGTGTTTGTGATTCCTACTTCCCGTTAGATGCTGGGGCGACGAGGTCAAAAGTGACAAGGGGCTTCAGCTTTACCTGGCGAGACACAATTCACCCGAATGCCCAGCGGAAACACATCAGCAGCGACGCATGCAGTGAAATGCACACATGCCTGCTTGGATGTGCTGTAGGCATAGACGTCGGGCATGTGAGAAAAGGCTGCGATACTGGCCACGTTGACGATGCTGCGGTTCCCTTTCGGCAAGTCCGTCATTGCCCGGACTTGGGCGCGCGTGCAGTAAAAGACGCCGTCGAGGTTTACTTTGAGAATGCGACTCCAATCTGCATCTGTCTCTGCGAGAATGGTTGGCGTCGTGCGCAAGCCGGCCCCCTGTGCGACACCAGCAATATTCGCAGCGCCATGCAGATTTCCATGGGACGAGACAATGTCTCTCAGCCACTGGTTGACATCTTCCGAGGAGGTGACATCCAACACTGTGCATTGGACCAAAGTGAGCTGGTTGATTTCCGCAATGGACTTCTGCAGAGAGTCAAAGTTGGTGCTGGACACATCGGCGACGCAGATGACGCCAGCTCCGCGTTCGGCCAGCAATCGACAGGTCGCAGCACCAATACCGGATGCGCCACCTGTGACGGCAAATATCTTGGCAGTGAGGGATGCCATGGTGTAGAAAACGGGATATAGGGGGCTGTACAGGTTCGAAACTAAGAGGGTTCAGGCTATATTTTCTACGGATTCGTAGCCACTGATAAAGGAGTATTCTGGAAGATATTTGCCTATTTTCAGCAACTACTGCTCACTGTCATGACCGGAAGTTGTTGCCGGCCGCAATTGGTTTTCAGCGAGTTTCAACGTCACAACTGCTCGCAACTACATGTACTCTTCAGTCCGCCGGACCCGACGTCCCTGTGGCGAGTGTCGGCCCCATCTCGTTGATAAAAATCAACGAATCTGGCACTTGACACTGAAGAGCAACGTTGCCTGTCAGCAACTACATCTTCTATAAGTGCGCTTACTCGGTGCGAAGCGCGTAAGCAAGAAATCATCAGATAGAATTCAGTGTTGAGAGGGAGGGGGTATAAGAAGTTTGCCGACTTTTCGAGCATCATGCCGGGGGGAGTGTATGCATGTACATAGGGCCAGGGCTATGTATGTATCCATTCCGAAACTTAAAAAAAATAACATTTGAAGCTTAAACAGAGCGAGCCAATTTGTCGGGCACTTCAAACTCAAATGTCTGGTACTCAATTCTTCGAGAAGCATGCCAGCATTTTCTGCAAGAACCGGCCATTTCTCATCAACGTTTGCTTTCGTCATGGGACGATATGAGTACTTGATTATATCCACCGGCGTAGACGCAGCCAGGAATCACAACCAGATGGATATCCAAAAAAAAACGCAGGGGTAAGTGGCGCTGTCCTTAGCATTCCGAATTTATGAACCAGAAGGTTATATAGCAATTTGTCAGAATTGACACACTGCGTATAGTTTTCAGGCAGAAAATCGCCATTTTTAGAAATTTTCGAATCACGGAAAATGACAAAGTTGTTGTTACACCGAACAGTACATTCTTACAACTTTCTTCCTTGTCTTCATGGCTAAATCAACACTACGACATCTATTTTTCCTCCCGCATGTCTCTTTTCAACAACGTTCTCAAAAGCGCGTCCAGACCATAGGAAGGCGAAATACCCTGCCCTCGTCGCACATCAACGAAGACTTCATGATTGCATGTCGCTTACTACAGTTAACCCACTGATTGCACGTTGAATGTATCAGCTACTTGCGCCCGCAGCCGCCTTGGCTCTAGGCGTTGCAGTCTTTCGGTCGCAGCCGAACCAGCCTCAATGCCGTTGCCGACCCTCGGAACCGTGCTGGCCGAGTGCGGATCAATGGGGTACCTTCAACAAGTCGATAGGGGGAAACCTGGCCAGGATTCGACCCGTTGCCTCTGTATGTCATGGCCCAGAGTACGACGCTGCTGCTTGTACGGATTTGTCGAGCCTGGCACGCGACAGCGGATGGCGAGCCTCTAACCCTGGTGAGTCTCTCCCGGTTCCTCGTAAAGTGATGCAGTGCAAGAAAACTAATGAGCTCATTGCCTCCACGAAGCAACCTTGCAAGACTGGCTATGGGAGGGCAATGGTCTCGCTGAGGAAATTTGCCATGTTGTCACGTCCCCGGAGGAATCTCAACAATCCGCCTGTCACCAAGGCAGGGTTCCTCTGTACTCGGTAACGGTTCAATCTACCACTCAGATTCAATCGTCGGTCAGATTTGCCAAGAAGCACAATCTTCGTCTTGTGGTGAAGAATAGTGGCCATGACTGCGCTGGACGGTCGAGTTCTCCCGACTCATTCCAAATACATACCAATCTGCTGAAAGGAATCACCTATCATGACAACTTTGTTGCTCAGGGTTCCGCTGCCAAAGGCTCCGGGCCTGCGGTCACTATGGGTGCTGGAATCATGCATTGGGAAGTGTACAGCGACGGCGCGAAGAACGGCTACACCATTGTCGGAGGTGAATGTCCAACTGTGGGCGCGGTGGGCGGATTCCTGCAAGGCGGCGGCGTCTCGAGCTTCCACAGCTTCACAAAAGGCCTTGCAGTAGACAACGTCTTGGAATATCAAGTGGTGACTGCCAATGTATGTGTTCCCCCCCATGTCTCACGTTCCATGTTCTCCCTCCCTTTCGTCACTATGATGCTAACGAGAATTCTCAGGGTGAGCTCATCGCAGCAAACGAATATCAGAATCGAGACTTGTTCTGGGCTTTGAAAGGAGGAGGCGGAGGTACCTTTGGGGTTGTTGCTCAAGCCACAGTTCGCGTGTATCCTGATGATCCTATCACAGTCGGCGCCATAAGCATATCGACGTCTCTCACAAACAGCCTATTTTGGACGAAAGGAGTCAGTGAGCTTCTACGTCTTTTGAAGATTTTCAATCAACAAGGATTTCCGGGTCAGATCGTCGTCATGGGTCCAAACCAAGGTTCTGTGCAGGCCACGTTGGAATTCCACTTTCCGAACACGACCGGCGAATCATACGTAAATGGATTGCTCAATTCACAAATGAGGCCTCTGGGGGATCATAAAATTTCGACAAACTTGTCTATCAGGGTGCAGAAAAAGGCAAGTTCCGAAGTTCGACTTGGGCCAGATACTTATCCACCGCAGTACGGGATTGTACAAGGATCTGTCCTGATCTCTGCCGCACTTTTCAATTCTGCGGATGGTCCCCCTCTGATTGCAAGGAACTTCTCCAACTTAAACCTGGGACCGAATGATATTCTTTTCACTAGTAATCTTGGTGGTCGTGTTATGGATAACAGCGATATCGATATCCCTCTCCATCCATCTTGGCGCTCTGCAGCCCAGTTGGTCACTTTGGTACGCGCAGTCGAACCGTCAAATAAGGGGAAGCTGGCCGCTTTAGAAACCCTTCACTCACATGATATGCCAATTCTGTACTCACTGGAACCAAAGAATAAGGTATCGTATCGTAATCTGGGTGATCCGTCCGAGAAGGAGTTTCAGAGTAGATACTGGGGGCCAAACTACAAGCGTCTCGCCTCCATTAAAGAAAGATGGGATCCGGACGAATTATTCATTACTAGGCTGGGGGTAGGAAGCGAAGAGTGGGATACTGAAGGGATGTGCAGAAAGTCTATTGGCCTTGTGGCTCGGGTTAGTGAGCTTCTCCGACTCTCGGGTAGATGGATATTGGGGGGATTTTCGTCTTTGATACAGCAGGTAGATATAATAGATTCATCTCGATAATATAGAATGTCATTGAAATAACCCTGGAATATCGTCTATAAAGAGCACTAGTTTGGGATATGATGTCTGAGTCCACAATGTGCGGGTATGACGAGCGGAATATTGGAGAAGATGTTTTATAACCAAAATACCTAGGCTATATATATACAACCTGTCCCAGACCAGAACGTTTGAATTCGTCAACTTCATCTACTATATCGAAATCCTCCTCACACTTCCACCATGGCCTCTCCTCGAGTCATTGATATTCGTTCCTCTCATTTTGAAGACTTGCTTACCGACCAGGTATTGAGTGGCTTCAGCAATGACCCAAAAACTCTCCCTGCTCAACTCTTCTATACGAACGAAGGACTGGAGCACTGGAATCACCATTCTCGCCAGCCTGATTTCTATCCCCGGCAACAAGAAATTAAAATTTTAAAGCAGAGAGGAGATGACATGGCAAGGTCTATTGCAGAAAATAGTGTCATCTTGGATCTCGGTAGCGCGTAAGTGAATTTACCATCTTCTCTCGAGTATACAATAACGCTGATGGACAATACATGTCAAGAAACCTCGAAAAGGTGACGTACCTTCTCGAAGCGCTGGAAGCTCAAGAGAAAAACGTGGCCTATTTCGCGCTCGATCTCAGCGCATCGCAGCTGGCCTCCACGCTCGACTCTATTCCCACCGACAAATTCCGCCATGTCCGCTTCACTGGACTGCATGGTACATTCGAAGATGGGCTGCGTTGGATCAATGAGACGCCCGAAATTTGCGACTTGCCACACTGCGTGCTGCTGCTCGGGCTCACGATTGGTAATTTCTCACGGCAAAATGCCGCAGCGTTCTTGCACAACATTGCCAAGAATGCTTTGCAGGGCAAATCAAGAGCGCAAAGCTCCATCGTCATGAGCCTGGACAGCTGCAAGGTGCCAACCCAGGTTTTGAGGGCTTACACAAGCGACGGGGTCGTACCGTTTGCATTGCAGGCTCTCACCTACGCGAACACGCTTTTCCAGGGAAAGACAAAGAATGGAGTCAACGGCCGACAGTCGTCTTGCAACCTGGACCCAGAGGACTGGTACTACCTCAGTCAATGGAACTTTGCTCTGGGAAGACATGAGGCTTCACTGATTCCACGATCAAAAGACATTAACCTGGGACCCTTGCTGAATGACATAGTTGTCAGGAAGGACGAGCAAGTTCGTTTCGGATGTAGCTACAAGTACGATGCTTTGGAGCGTACAGAGTTGTTCACGGCGGCTGGACTGAAAGATGAGACGGCTTGGACAGGAGAGAAGTGTGATGTTGCAATTTATGACTTGAAACTAAGCTAATTCTTCATGTACTCAATTAATTCTTCAATAGCCAGATGTCCTTCTCACTTGAAGCAAATTCTTGAAAAGTACGAGGCGTTGTACCAGTCAATTCAAGCACGGTCTTATTGAGTCTTTCTTCCCCTCCTGCCCTGACTATCAAGTCCATCGAAGCGTGCATCTGTGCATCCTCGAGCGGCATACCGTACTCGTGCATTTTCTCTGCGAGCTCTGATTCTTCGAGTCGGACATGATTGATCTTTCTATTCAGCTGCTTCGAAAGAGTCTCGGCAACCTTGACTCGTTTGTCAGTATCTGGGGATGCATCTCTCAGTCCTTTGCATGTGCTTACATCATCGTAAGTGAGCAGTTCCGGTCCGAGCAGAATAGGGTCAATATTTTCTTCCACATCTCCCTTCAGCGCACGAAACGCGACTCGGGCAATGTCAACCACGGAGATGAATGGGACTTTGCCATTTTCCGCTGCCGAGTAAATCTTGTCTTCTTTCCTAATTGCCTTGCACTGGAATTCGTGTGGGGAAGAGAAATTTTCTGCCATTCAAACAAGATGACTTAGTACGACGTGTTTGCAAAAACAAAATACATCGAGTGAGCTAGATCTTCATACCCATGAACCATGTAGGTCTCAATACGGTGTAATGGATTCCCTCCATGGAAGCCAGGTGCTCATGAATCTGCCCCATAGCAGGAGCGCCTCGTTCCAACATGCTTGCGCTTAGCAGCACAAATCTCTTGACGTCTTTGAGCCGGGCATGATTGATGAAGGCGTTTACAGGCGGAGCCAAGTCGGCTATCGGCGGAGGAACAAGCCAGACAGCTGAGATTGGCTGCATCCCATCTTTGGGGGATAGGACATTGTCGTAGGTTGTATCATCTAGCCAATCAAAGCGCAATTGGCGGTACTTTGAGTCGTGACTGCAGGAGCGAGACGCTATGGCGAAAGGCAAGTTGGCCGCATCGAGGAGAGCGGCAATGTGACTGGCCGTCTTGCCACGTCCTCCAGTTAGTAGAATGGTCATTTTTCTTTTTCAGAGATGGAAAACGAATAACGCGATTCTGATTTTAGGGGAGGTCAACTTGTGAAGATGGTAAAAGGCAGTAGATGTCTTGAATTATTTTGGCATGATATTACGACGAAAATGTACTATTATATGTAGATATCAGCTGACAAAGTTGACATTTGAGTCATGTCTAGAATATTTTCAACTCCTGAATCTTGGAGGGCTTGTTGGTCTCGTAGATTCTCTAAAAGGAAGTGTACCTTCTTCGCGTTGCGTTGCTTCTATCGTCGGCAACCAGACACTGATGCGCAACTCTCAGACAGAATTTTCCTTAAGACGCAGTTGATGCTGCAGAAGAATGCTTTCCATCGCCCTAGTTGCTTTTTGCCAAGGACCACCTTGGTTGCAACAGCACCGCATCTACCGTTCCAATTGGTTGATAAGTATCTACGAAATCACTCCAGTCCAGAGCAGGTCGTATTTGCGACACCTAAGGCGCGGTCAGCCCGACCCAGATCTAGTCTAGGCTCTGGAAACATACACCTTACATGCCTGTAACATTTTGCTGACATAGGTCTCTCACATTTTCAGGCGTTATTAGGACAAGTGCATCTACACGCTTGCGACATCATGTCCAGCTGTACGATTGCCTCTGGGACAAACGGGTAATCCGGCGAAACAAACTACCCGAGACGAGCTCAATTTGAAGACGGCTAAGCTTGCAATTGCTTCCACAGTCTGACATTATGCTTGAGGTTTTGAGCTGGAGGTATCAATTCTTTATGGCAGACTCCCGGACGTAATGTTCGGAAGGGGCAGTCTCCTGCCATATCGAAAAGGTCTAAATTTGTGTCCATTGTTAGGAAACTGACTTCCGTGCAAATATCAACTCCCCGAAGCTACGCCGAGAGAATGTATCGAACAGATGGCCTCTGTTTGCAACAACTCCGAAGGTAGCTGCGGCAATCATTGAAGGTATACTGCATCTTCGGGAGCTCCGTGGCCGGCCCGATCGCTGCTGGAGTTCCCTCACTAGGAAGACTTACGCAATCGCTCCAGCTTTGTTACTTTTTATCCAATATAACCCGAGTCGGCTTCCCCGATCCGCAGAATTGTTGTCACTATCAGCAATCTGACCTCATCATGAAAGACTCCAAATACCTCCTTATTTAACACGACAGTATAAGGTCATATTCATTATCCTAGGAACGAATCTCAACCTTGCAAATACCATGCTTGTTTATCCCTCTGAGCGTTGCAATCAGTGTTGAATCTCATCTTTCCGCCTCGAATAAACGCATTCTCTTCTCACATAATACTTTGCTTTACGATGAAAATTGAAGAACGAATGGGCCACAGTGTCTATGAGACACTCAGTCTCATCTTCGATTTCCCGAATGACGACCAGAAACTTTGGTGGCATAGCACGGCGCCCATGTTTGAAGCTATGCTTCAGACCGCCGGCCATACCATCGACACACAATACCGACATTTGGGGATATACAAGAAGCACGTCATTCCGTTTCTGGGCGTTTATCCCACGAATGACAAGGAACGATGGCTAAGCATCTTGACGAGATACGGAATCCCATTCGAACTGAGCTTAAACTGTTCCAACTCTGTCGTTCGATATACATATGAGCCCATCAACGCCGCAAGTGGGACACAGAAGGATCCGTACAACACACTAGCCATTTGGGAGAGTTTACAGAAACTCGTACAGATCCAAGCAGGAATTGATGTCGAGTGGTTCAAGTACTTCAAGCGAGAGCTCACTCTTAATACGGCCGAGTCTGCATATTTATTCGACAACGGTCTGGCAAAAGATGAGATTAAGACGCAAAACAAGCTAGCCTTGGATCTCAAAGGCAATCAATTCGCAGTCAAAGTATACATATACCCTGCGTTAAAGTCTCTTGCTACGGGTAAATCCATGCACGAGCTCATTTTCGGCTCTGTGCACAAGTTGTCTCTGCAATATAGCAGTATCCGCGCAGCTTTTGAAAGGTTGGAAGGATTTGTTATATCACGAAATAGTCGTGCACAAACAGGTGACTGCGGCGCTCTACATCCACGGCTTTTATCGTGCGACCTGGTCGATCCCGCCAAGTCTCGCATCAAGATTTACCTCCTGGAGCAGATGGTGTCATTGTCCGCCATGGAAGACTTGTGGACATTGGGCGGACAACTCACCGATCAATCGACAATGGATGGACTCGACCTCATCCGCGAGCTTTGGGATCTGCTTCGGATTCCCCCCGGTTTGCGGAGTTATCCAGAGCCGTACCTGGCCTTGGGGAAAGTCCCAGACGAGCGACTCCCATCCATGGTCAATTATACGCTGCACCATGACGATCCCACACCCGAACCCCAAGTGTATTTCACTGTGTTTGGCATGAGTGACTTGGATGTGACCAATGCGTTGACAGTCTTTTTTGAAAGACGCGGGTGGAGCGAAATGGCTACAAAGTACAGGGCCTTTCTTCAGAAATCATTGTGAGTGTTGTCAACATCAAAGATTGAAACCTATAATCCGTACTCATATAATTCTTGCACAGCCCACATGACGACCATGAATCCCTGAATTATATTCATACGTACATTTCGTTTTCATACCGTAACAACAAGCCGTATTTGAGCGTATACTTGCACTCGTTTGAAAGTGGGAATTGGCCGGTTTGTAAGTACTTGTTTGGATATCCGTTGTGAGGAGTCACCGTGAACTGACTTGAGCCACTTGCTTGCAGTGCCAGATGTTCCTGTAGCTTTCGATGCATTCCGTCGTGAACCCTCTCCGTACAAGAAAATTGAGCTTGGTCTTGATTAGGCTGGTACGGGGGAGTCATTTTAGTGATGAATTACAAATATACATCATGCCTTGGTTTTAGGTGGGATGGTCGATAAGATCATTTGATTCGTAAAAACGATTTAGCAGTGATTGGATATATTAAACTCTAGATAAGATGTATAAACAATAAATACCGAGCCCTGAAATTTGATAGTAGAATGCGAATATGCCAAAGCGAGAAAACAATAGAAATAAGTCTGCAGCATTTGCGTCCATCGATTCAACAAAATCTCCCAGTGCTACAGAATTCATTAGTGTCACAAAATGAACGCGGTCTAGTTGAACAGCAATTATACCTCCTTTTATTTCGTTGACAATTAATCTAGGGTAGTTGCCTGCATCAATTTTGTCATGTTCCAGTACAATACCTAGTCATCATACTATCTAAAAATAGTATTCTGGCCAATTAGTCTTACTTTCGCACTTTCCGTCACGGCAAAGTATTTCGGAAAATGTATAGAAATAATGGATGGGCAATGAATATTTGATGGCTTGATGTGCGGGCAACCTCTGGTTCACGTGAGAATGCTGAGTCGCATCACGTCATGAAACTACCTATCGAAGACTTCAAGGAACAGTGACCGCTATCCAAAACTAGTCAGACATCGGAGGCCTTTGGGCTTTGAATATGCACTCGCCTTCTTTGGGAAAGTGGCTCCAGGCACGGGACATAAACGAGATACGCATCCAGAATCTCAAGTTGAAGTCTATGTATTAATACGAGAATCGAAAAATAAAACACGTTTAAGTACCGTAATTCTTTGGCGATGACAATCAAAAAACTCCACTCTCCTACACGCGTGCCTGTTCATATATATACTTTCGTATGTAGTATCAAGAACAAGCACCAACTATATTTCCTCGCAACGCACGATGCCTTCAGATCAGAAAACACGCTGTATAGTAATAGGAGCCGGGTGAGCATATAGACTTGACAAAGCAGAAGAACCATCTCACTAACAATTGTGATAGAGTATCCGGCATCCTCATGGGTAAGATGGCTAAATTTCGAAAAGTTAGAGACCCTGGGCGATCTTGAGGACCTGACTGGAATAAAACTAGCCTATAAGCTACAGCATCACTTGAATGATTTTGTCGAGTTTCAGATTCTAGAAAAGAATCCTGACCTTGGAGGAACTTGGTACGAGAACAAATATCCAGGTTCGTTCAAGTTGTTCTAGTTCTTGACATGATTCGGAAATCTTACCGGATATAGGTTGCGCATGCGACGTTCCGAGCCACTGCTACCAATACGCCTTTGCGCCAAACCCTTCGTGGTCGAAATTGTATGTCACCATTCATCCTAATGTAGGTATAACCCTAACCCTTCTAGATACTCCTCATCAGAAGAGATTCACGACTATCTCAAAAAAGTAGTCAAGCACTTTAACCTGGAACGATACATTCGCTACAACACCAAAGTCACCTCGGCCAAATGGATTGAATCGACTGGCACTTGGTCTGTGGGCATTAGTGACGGGACTACGATTGATTGCGAAATACTAATCAATGCTGGGGGTATCCTCCACCATCCTCAATTGCCTGACCTCAAAGGGCTCAAAAGCTTCGCGGGTAAGGTGGTACATACGGCTGCATGGGACTCTGAACTAGATCTGCGTGGCAAAAAGGTGGCACTCATCGGATCAGGCTCCAGCGCAGTCCAGATTCTACCGCAGCTTCAGCCTGTATGCAGTTCGGTACGGGTATATATTCGCACTCCTCCATGGATTGCGCCGCCAATGGTTGATACTGAGTCAGAATCACCAAATCGCGGCTACACGAACGACGAACAGGCATATTTCAGACAAGACCCGGCAAAGTATGCCCAGATGCGAAAGGAGATCAACTCAAATTTAAATGGCATGTTCAAAGCCCTGTTTAAGAATTCTCCGGAACAGCAGAATTTTCGACAAATGCTGGAAACACGAATGCGGTCTCTAATAAGAGACGAAAGCCTGCAGGATCACCTTGTTCCTAAGTTTGAAGTAGGCTGCCGCCGCGTGAATCCCTGTGAACAGTTTCTTTACAGTATTCAGGAGGAGAATGTTACGGCCGTGTTTAACGCGATTGAAGAAGTAAAGCCACATGGAATCGTGTCTGAAGGCGTCGAGCACCCAGTGGATATCATTGTCGCAGCGACTGGATTCAATAATAGTTTCAGGCCACAGTTCCCCTTATTAGGCCGTGATGGAGTCAACCTTCAAGACATCTGGGCAGATGAACCAACTTCATATTTCGGAACCGGTGTTTCTGGGTTTCCCAATTATCTCACGTTTCTTGGGCCAAACACACCTATTTCCAACGGCGCTTTCATGGGTATGTTGGAATCTTTCTGGTATGGTTTACTAGTCTAACATACTTTGCAGGACCCTTGGAAGGGACGAGCGATTATTTCATCAGGCTACTTCAGCGCGCTATCAGATACGGAGCATCTTCATTCGATGTAAAACCCGAAGCGCAGGCCGACTTTGACAGTCGCGTCTGTGAGTTTATGAAGAAGACGGTGTGGACGGGGTCATGCCTCAGTTGGTGTAGGTTTTTTTTTTGATACCCCAAAAATTTTTGCATAGTCTACTAACTCTTCAAAAGATAAGAAAACTAGGGATGGTAAGATTACAGCGCTATGGCCAGGCAGCTCGTTGCAGTACATGCAGGTCCTGGCTGAAGATAGATGGGAGGACTATAACTGGGCGTACAGGGGACGAAGATATGATTACTGGGGAAATGGATTTTCGTGGATTGAGCAACCAAAGAGCGACAAGTTGGGAATCCAAGAGCGTAAATCGAAAAACGAGATGGTGACAATTCCCAACATTGACGCCGATTTAGGCTTCTATATCACACAGCAGGCACCCTTGCCGGAAGCAGACGCTGAGGACTAGAGTGGTATCAGTCTTCTGTATTGCCGGGTACGCATACTTGATGCGGATTATCTTGTAGACTATGGCGTTATTTTGAAATATACAATGTTGCAGTCCGTGCTGATTTAAATAATGACACGAGGAGATCGTTTCAATCTAGAAAGGTGGCATATTTAATTCTCAATTCGTGCTAAAGATATGTAACTCAACACTGTGAATCAATTTTAATATTCACCATAGTTTTCCCTTTTTTACATGTCACACGGGTATCACGATGTCACGGCGCGTGCAGACCCTCGACCCCGACGATAGTTACACCAGAGCTCGAAGACATAGTGGGAGGCCTTGGATATCTGTCGCCCCAGGCCTGGACACTCACCGTTGCTTTGCATAAATACAATCCTTCTGTCTACAAGGGCCATTGATACCAAAAGAAGTTATCTGCATGAATAGAACTCTTGTTTCCAGCCCTTGTCAAAGACAAAGTGCTGTCTATAACAACGGCTTCTCATCAGGAGTTCACCTCCACGTCAATGCAGGAATATGATTTAGCCAAGCAGCATAGTATCTATGCCAATGACAGTAATGGCAGTGCTGGTCAGGTTCAGACGTCTTAGCTATGCAGACATCCTTGACACACAAACCCGAGGAGGAATATAATGAACGCACCTGGGTTCCTATCTTGGTCCACAATAGAAATAAATGATACAAAGAAGCTCAATCCATGGTCAAACACTGTAAATCTTTAGTTTCTAATTGATTCTAGCCCGCCCGATGCTTCATGGGCTTTGTATGCAGCATTACGTTTTTTAAGATGCGACAGGATCAATGCAATCCACCGGCGAAGTTTCATCTTCATCATCTCAACAAAGAATTTGATCAATAGTTTGATGTTATGGATACAAAGTACGCGGGCTCGTATGTCCATATCGGCTCAAGGGGGAAGCAGTCCTGAAGTTGTTGCCTACTTGTGTGATACGTCTCCTGCCCAACTAGTACTTTCACTCCTCTTCTCCTCTGCCAACTCTTTCAACATCTCAATTGCCTCGTTTTCCCTCCCAAGAGGAACAAATAGATGATCATGATAAAATCCACTGACGGGGTTCACTCCCATGTCCTTGGTTGCCAGCCTGGTCGCAATCACCGCCATAAACCCCACCGCCTCCAAACTGGACGTCACATCCAGCGTAATCATCTTGCAAGGAAAGAAATACTCCAGGCCGTGAGATTTGGCGTAATCAAGGCTTGTTATCACAGTGAGGCCCTCTGTCTCCCGGAAGAAGAGCTGAATCGCCGACACGGGTGGTAACTTTGCTTCGTCTTTGACGGTCGCGAAAACGTAGGTTGTAGGATGAAGGATGGTGCTCAGTGTGGCCAAGAGCCTTGAAAGTGACTTTTCTCCAGGGTCTTGCATTGGCGCTGACATTTTGCGGGTGGATTTGAATGGGTGACGATGTATTTGGCTGCCGTTGCCCTCTTGGTGCCCGTATTTGGCAGAAGGATAGTGCAAAACAGGTGAAATAAATGACTCATTGAGTTAGCTGCCCATCAGATCCATCGATACCTGTCAAGACAAATTCTGCAGTATCTGACTGGCCAGGATGGTGGTACCAGACTTGTCCGTGGCGTCCAAGGCACCGTGGAGAGCGTGGAGAGGGCCACTTTGAACGACACCTGCGCCACGGCCGTGGAGTGGTGTCGAGTTGTCAACTGGTCCTTGGAGACGAAGCGGATGCCCTGGGCAGCGTCCGCCTTGCGCTGGGCGACGTCCAGTTCGGCCTGGGGCGCCGCGAGTTCCTTGCCGGCGGCGTCGGCGTTGGCCCGGCCGTCGTCGGACGCCTTCTGCGCCGCCGCGATCTGCGAGCGAGGGTTCCAGTCGAGGGAGTAACTTGCCAATCATCGTTAAACCTTGACTCTTGCCGACTTTTCATTCGACTAGTCCGGTATTTCCAGCTTTCAGGTTAGGTATGAGGATAAAATCTGCCGCTTTTGCTGCTACCCAGCTCGACATGAGACTATTCGATTTCTGAGCATCTGTAAAATAATTTATGTATCAAGATAAACGTATACGGATCTTTCTAAGCCAGATTCGCTTATTAAGCCTAGGTAGTTTTATGTAGCTTAACCAACTACCTAGGTACTTGGTAGTTATTGAGGATGACACACCGCTACTTACAGCATCTTCATGTTACCACCACGGCCTATTTTTTGTACGGCTCTTCCATGAATACCCAATTCGTGAAATGAATACCCCCGCGGCTTCTCAATTCTATACCCCAACGACAACGAGGCCCACGGTGAACGGACGGTTGGGCGCGCTCCAGAGTGGACTTGGCCCCAACAAAACAAGAGAAGAATGAGGCGTTGGGGGGGGTGGACTGTGCTTTGATCGATAAGAAAACACGGCTCAAAACTTAGGGATCATGTGAGTACATACTATGCTTACGTATCAGATTGGCCATGTCAGTATGATCTAACTTTGTCTTACATAGCCCTAGCATGACTAACTTTGATATAGACACTTTGGATTTCGGCCACACAGGTTACGCAAATCAAGAGCCACCGATAAAGCCTGTTCAAGCAGTTGACGGAAATCAAGATTTCTAGATTTTCATTGCCGGGTTCGCAAGTAAGTCATCTACTAAACATCTGCTAATGACCCCAGTGGAAGGAATATAAAGTCAAAGCGTAAATAATAAACCTGACCAACGAATTTATAATGATTAATTCAGCCTAGCTATCGTTATAGGAAAACATTCTTGTTCACATTAATTTGCCCACACTCATAACTTGAAAGGAAAAAGCCAACATACAGGCATCACCAACCCTGGACTCGGATAACTACCTTGCCATTTGCCTTTTTGTCCTCAACCTTATCAAACGCTTCCTGGAAATCGGCAAGATCAACCAAACTATCCACCTTGGTGACACACTTGCCTTCTCCTTGCAGCTTAGAAATTGCCCCCAGCTGCTTACCGTTGGGTTCAACCAGGAACCACTTTGCCTCGGCAAGCTTCTTCGTAATCGACTCTGGCTTCGACTGCTGCGGGTCGCCGGTGATGCTGTGCAATACACCCCCTTCTTTCACGGCAGACCAGCACGACGCAAGCGTTGATCCGCCAACGCAGTCGAAAGCGGCATCTACCTCGCGCTCCGATGAATTCACGGCCACCCAGTCGGAAATACTCTGCTTCTTGTAGTCCAACACGTCTGTCGCGCCCAGCTTTCGAACATATTCGCCGGCGTGGCCGCCAGCGACGGTGATAACCTGGCCTGCTCCGGCGAGAGATGCAAACTGAACCGCCCAGCTGCCCACGACACCAGAGGCTCCTGTAATAAGCACCTTGAGAGTCCTATTTTTCTCTCGGGCTGCTTCATCTCCAAACACTGCCTTTTCATCCAGGACCCCATGTTGGAAGACGCCCTGCCAGGCCGTGAGTGCACTTAGTGGCGTCGCCCCGGCATCTGTCCATCCCACGTTCTTGGACTTGTGTGCCATTTGAGAGAGTCGAGCTAGGGTGTATTGACGCAGGTTGCCGGTTTGAGACGGCTCGAGGCGGAAAAACACCTCGTCTCCGATTTTGAAGCCAGAGGCCCGGGCCTCGTCGCTGTCAGCGAGTTTGGCGACAACGCCTGCAGCCTCGGTGCAGGGGACTCTCTCTCGCCCGGGCGCAAAGAGGGAAGGAAACCATGTCTCCCAGTGTAGTTCACCCGCGCACGGCGTAGTGGTGTAAACACGGACAAGACACTCGTCCGGGCGGGAAATGGTCGGCAGTGGCGCGTCTTCAAGGACGAGGCGCGTCGAGTTGGGGTCGGGTTGGTGCACCACTTTCATGGTGCTGGGAAGGGAAGGCGACGCCATTTGAGGCAATTGTAATGTTTCGTTCAAGTATGACGGTGACGGTACTTAGAATAGGTCTGTATAGACGAATGGAGATTTGAGCATGGCCCGCATGCGCCAGTGGTGTTTCGATGGCTCAAGGGGATGACACGGCCTTATATTGCTTGCAAAGAGGCGCATTTGTTATGCATTTTGGTCGGCTGCAATATACGGCATCGAAGCCTTTTTCGCCATTCCGGCTTGCTCGGAGCAACTTGAGAAGTCGGGAATCGCCAAAGATTCGTCACATAGGCATCACCATGTCTGGGAGCAAAACGCCACGGCTCTTGGCTGGGCTGATGGCTCATGGACAACGGAAAATAGCCCGACATCGACTCTCCACCCACGCCACGCTTACCCGGATAGCCTATGGCCGGGGATCAGGGAAACCGTGGGAAGGCTAAAGTGTGGGTTGCTGTCGATGGCCATGCGGGGCCCAACACGAAGAGTGAGGCTATATATACTTATATCTAACTCTATAGACCAACGGCTTTTTCATCAAGAAGCGCATCAGAAGTCATTGACACGCAAAACCTGGACTTGGATAAGCTAGTTCAGACTTTACTTTAAACTTGAACAAACACTCATCAAAATGGAGCAAGGCCGAATCGTACCCGATCCCCCCAAATACGACAGAAGGTATACACTGCATCCATGGAATTGACCCTGACCAAACGCAGCTGCTGAATAGCTGACTCATTATTTTCCGAATAGCCGACCGCTTCCCCAGGTGGAGCTTGCGTATCAATATAAGCTTCCCAACATCCCTGGAAAGTCTAGCATCGGCCTCATGGTGACATTCCCTCCCAATTCGTCGACTCCGCCGCACACACACGCCGGAGCCGCTGTTTCTGCGGTTGTTCTCCAGGGCACTTTGCTCAACAAGATGAACAGCGAGCCTACTCGGGTCTTTAGCCAGGGCGGAAGCTGGTTCGAGGCTCCCGGCTGCCATCATGTGGTCAGCGACAACTACAGCAAGGACGAGCCGGCAAAATTGTTGGCGACATTGATTGTCGACACCGAGGTGGTGGATAAGGGAGGTGTGGAAGCCCTCGTTGTGTTTGACGACGAGTACAAGGACGTTGCACTTCATTAACAACATGCCCGTTCTTTCCGTTAAGGCACATGTGGCATTTCACGACGAGTATAGGAAATTTCGGTTAGGAGCAGCAGTATCAAACACATCCTTTTTAGGAGTAATATTAGCACACCAACCTTTTAATTTGGCCCCGAGATGGTGCTTTCACGTGAAGGATGAAATGTAGATGGCGGTTGACGAGCATGGGGGAACCATGGTAGCAGCGTGAAGGGTGGCTCGTCGACCCATGAATGGTTACATCCGGCCGATCGATATGTTGTCGATTTTGATTCGACCCTGTCCTTGCGACAAACTGACCAAACGTGGCACGACTCACTTGCACCCAGCTGGCCCAAGGGTACTCCGATGGAGGAGAGTATGCATCTTAGTCTTGCCATGTCACTACCCACACGCACTTCACAATGCACAATGCGGAGATGCTTGCCGCGAGCAAGAAAGCCACTAACCTGTTGATATAGCACAAGACTGCTCGTCAATATCATCCATGAGAAGACAAGTTCGACGTACTACTAGGCAAAGTTGCGACGTGGACGCTAGATCCAAAGTACACAGGCTACCAAACACTGGTCCATCGGAACTATTTTCAGCGAAGCTTAGTATCTGCTCGGGCATAGTTTTCGATAAAGAACTCGACAGACTTGCCATGGAACGAGGTTGGTCATATCACCCACCGCAGCGTACAGCTCGCGAAAAAGAAGCGACGCGGGAGAGCGCTGTCGTGCCACGCCACCTCCAAATACCGGCTATAACGCGAGCGCGAGCAGGCGATATGCTCTGCGTAACAACTTGTGCGTCGAAAACGTAGTCTTGGTCTCAGAACCTGATGGGCGCGACGAGATGTGCCTTGGGCATACTGGCGATGGCTTCAAGATTCGACTACTCATTGACGCCATGCCATCGACACCAACCGCGCCCTAATGATGCATGCCGTTCAACGTCGAAACAATTTGGCATTTTTAGGCTTCCCTCTGCGGGTCACACAACATCTTTCCTGGCCTGATAAACTCGTCGCTGGCCTCAGACCGTCCCACAGAGGCCGCAGTTGGGCTTCGCAGCATTGCGGCCAGCATACTCCGTGCCCAAAGCTGATTTGGTACGCTGCAATTAGTCAAATCTTTCCGAGAAAGTTGCCTGACATTAATAGGTAGCAACAACGTGGCCCTGGCCGCCTCGGTTGCCAAAGAAGCCATACGTCGTGGGCAGTTGGGCAGCAATAGAGTGAGCGGTGAAGCATACCGACAAGATGCAGATGCCCCATTCATGCAGCAGGCAAGCGACATACGTGTTCCATGGTTGGGGACAATACGGAGTAGTTAGATATATACTTCAGACAGTGCTGCTGTCGGGGCATTTGGACAAGCTGCTTCCTCTTCCCCATCACGGCTGCCCATTCCATCAACACCAGACATCAGTCCGTCACAATGGCCTTCATTGAACTCCAATCCGAAGACCACCGCGATCTCCTAGACACATTTGACAGGCTTCGATCGGGAGGCGTCTGCAAACATGTCCATCTTCCGGAAATCATCGTCTGCGGAGGCCGGTCCGCGGGCAAGAGCTCCGTGCTGGAAGCCATCTCGGGCATTTCCTTTCTCACAGAAGACAACGCTTGCACTCGATTCACGACGGAGCTAGTTCTTCGTCGGCAGGACACTCCGGCCGCCAAGATCTCCATCAATCCCGGCCTAGAACGAGGCGCCAACGAAAAACGCCGATCGGGCGTCTTTACTGTCCCCGTAAGCTTCGACAAGCCGGATATCGAGACCATCATTGGGGAGGCAAAAGAAGCCATGGGCCTGTCCGAGGCCAAGATGTTCAGCTCCGACATTCTGCGCGTCGAGCTTTGCGGACCTACGCAGCCGCACCTCACCGTGGTAGATCTGCCAGGCATATTTCGCGCCGACGGCCAAGACGAGATGGCCCAAGATGCCGAAACTGTTCGCGCACTAGTCCGGCACTATATCAAGAGATCTCACAGTATCATACTGGCAGTTGTGTCTGCCGAGAACTACTCCTACCTGGGCGACATCACCGAGATTGTTCGGGAACTTGACCCGAACGGCAGCCGCACGTTGGGTCTCATCACCAAGCCGGACGTTCTAGAGCCCGGGTCCGACAGAGAATCCGTGTACGCCCACCTCGCCAAGAATACGGAGCTATCTTCCCAGCTTGGCTGGCATGTTTTGAAGAATAGGGATCATAAAGTGAGGGATAGTCCGTCCCTTGGGCGCAACGAAGACGAAGAGAGCTTCTTCTCCAAGGGCATCTGGTCATCAGTCGACCAGAGCTACCTTGGCATAAAGTCCCTCATGCCAAGGCTAAGCAACATCCTCAGGAACCAAATCCTGCAACAAGTCCCGAGCATCATCGAGGTCGTCGATAGGGACATTGACAGGCGCAAGGCCCAATTGGAGAGATTGGGCAAGCCGCGCTGTACCATCTCAGAGCAACGCAAGTACCTGATGCAAGTAAGCCGCGAGTTCACAACCCTCATGAAAGCCGCCGTCGATGGCGAGTACAACGACGCATTCTTCGGGAGTGCCAAATCCGACGAGGGCTACCGGAGGCGCCTGCGCGCCCGCATCCAAAACACCCTGACCAGCTTCGAGAAGGAGATGCGGGAAAAGGGGCAGAGCCGCGTGATTGTCGACGACTCGGGCACCCGGGACCGCAAGCTCCCCGACGACCACCAGTGGCGATCTACCTTTGTCAACGAGGTCATGGCCATTGTGAGACGCAGCCGCACGCGCGGCCTCCCGGGCACCTTCAACTCCCAAATCATCCGAGAGCTGTTTGTGGAGCAGTGCCGGCCCTGGCAGACCATTGCCATGAATGTCAAGCACGAGATTCTCGGCATCGTCGACGACATTGCACAGGCCATCGTGGACCATGTTGCCGCCGACGAAACCACGCGCGGCGTGTACCATCTCGTCAGCAACGAAACCGACAGCCTAAAGGCCGATCTCGGCGCCAAGTTTCACGAAATCCTCAAGCAATACGTGTGTAGCCACCCCATTACATACAACAGCTACCTGCTCGACATGGTGCAAAAGGAACAAGAAAGGCGGACCCACGAACAAATCGAGGAAACGGTAAAGAAGCTCGTAGGCAACGAAAACTTTAAAGAAGAGCACCGCGTCAAGATTCACCCGCTCAACTTGTGCGATTCGCTCAAGCGCAGCATCAACGTCGACATGGAGCGGTCTGGGGCCGAAATGGCGACCGACTACATGCTCGCCTATTACAAGGTAAGCAAGGCACTCGAAGCGCCCGAGGACGCAAAATACTGACTGGTTTGCAGCTCGCCCTAGAAAAGTTTGTCGACGACATTAGCGTCCTAGCCGTCGAGCAGTGCCTCCTGGAGAAGCTGCCGACGCTGTTCCTGCCCGAGGCCGTGATGGACCTGCCGGACCACGACGTGCGCTACTTCATCAGGGAGAGGGACACGGCGCACGCCGAGCGGGCCCGGTGCGCGGACAAGCTCGCGGTTCTGGAGACGGAGCGGCGCGTGCTCGCTCGCCTCGACACGCGTCGCTCGCCGGGCGTCGCGCAGGCATGTGCGGGGGAGAACCTCCCCGTGTCCGGGATCCCGCGGAGCTACACGACCGACACGGTGACGGTGGACGAGGGGCGGCCGTATTTCCCCCGCTCTCCGTCCCCGGGGAATCCCGGCCACTCGGGCGAGTTGCTCGTCGAGCAGGAGGGCGCTGGGCCCGCTGGTGGCGAGGAGCCCTGCGCGCCGGAGCCGGAGCCGGTGCCGGAGCTAGAGCCGGAGACGGAGGCGGCGGAGGCGGTGGAGGAGCCCGAAGAGCCTGCTGCGGACGAACCTATGTCGACAGAGACTCCCACGGACGAGACGCAGCCGGCGGCTGAAGAAGCAGAG